CCCCATCAGATCAGTCTTCCAATGTTTAATCATTGACATACTGATTTTGAGAAGTGTTACCCACTTTCCAAATTAAATAAAATAAAAATAAAACCCTAACTTAGCATTTGCAGAAGAATAAATCAAATAAAGTAATACATTACTAACATCATAAATTCAGATAGTTACTTTGCATACATCAACATAATGAAGCCTAGTTATCAGGATGTTCCTCATACAAAGAAATGATGACTCGCCTAGATTCAGCTTCATTCTGTACTATGCTTTGAATCCTTGTCATGACTGATATTGTTATCTAATACATTCAGATTGTCAGGAGTTAGGACAGGGCCCTGAGTCTCAGATAGATCATGTCGTAAATGAGCTACAGGAGCTAAATTTCTTTGCCATTATTAAAAAAAAAAAATGGCATAAAGAGGATTTGCTGTGGCTTGAGTGTCTTCGGTATAATTTTAATATATCATTTGCTCTGCTAATTGCTTTGAGGTTTATAAATGGTGGTTTGACTAGTGAAAATTCCATAGGTATGGAAAAGGTTTCTAACAGTTGATGATATGAATGAAGTAACTTGGACTGAATGCCAAGCCAACAATAGAAAATAATTGGCTAAAAAAAAAAGAAAAAAAAAAAAGTGAACTTGTTTAGTATAGTACTGGTTAGTTGAAGCTGATGGCAAAGGGCATTTAAAATCAATGGTGGTCTCTCTAATGGTACAATAGTTTCATGTCAGCCTCACATTCTGGTATTGACGTCCACTTTCTACTACATTCACCAAATAATAACCAGAATTGTTTGCTATTAAAGAAGAGTTATCTCACTTTCCTTGACTTAGTAGCTACTGGGTTAAAATCATTAGTAAGATTAGCTAAAAGTCGACAACAGAGAAAATAGAAAATTTGACCAACCAAAAAAATTCGGATATTTTTAACACATCAAAACTAACAGCAGAACAGTATGCCCTAGGCAAAGTATCCCTCCTATGAGGGTATTACTAACATCAATTTTATATACACACACACACACACACACATATATATATATTATGAAATGGACAAAGTCCGACAATTATTTTAAGATATTTTTATGTTTATACGTTCTTTTTATAGATGCAAATATTTAAGTAAATGTTCTGTTTATAATAAACAGTATTAATAACATTTACTGGCCTGAATGTCCAAGAAATTTTCATAGAAAATATTCGTCCTCCGACAGGAATCAAACCTGTATCCTATACGAAACCGTTATATAGCCTGACGTGCCTTAACTGATTGGGCCACAGAGGATCATTTGGTTAGCCAGGTCGATTTTACTGCTTTCATGGAAGATTGTAGTTTTCTATGAAAATTTCTTGGACATTCAGGCCAGTAAATGTTATAAATTAATTATTGTTTATAATAAACAGAGCATTTACTTAAATATTTGTATCTATAAAAAGAATGTATAGACATAAAAATGTCTTTTTATATATATATATATATATATATATATATATAGTTTATGCAAAACTAGGTAATCTGTATGGGTAGACCCAAGGAGGATGATATTCAGAGCAAATATGTTTGAATAAAAAACAGACCACTTTAAGGTTTCATCTGATAAATTATTTCACCACAGCCCTTTTAAAGGGCTCTGGATCATCAGACTTTACTTCCAAAGGTTGAAATGAAAAATTCATTTCATTTTTCATTCTGATTGTGAAATTTGTGAGGATATGTACTTCGCAGAATTTACAATATTAAACCAAAAAGGCATGTACTAGCCACCCATGTGTAAAAGTCATAAGAGATATTAAAGGTGTCTCCATAAACACTAAAGAATCTGACGCTTTTATAAGAGTAATATCTAATCTGGCTACTTGAGAATAGAAGGCTTGATCTTGCAACTGACTTTGAACAAAGGAACAGGCTCAAAAGAGTGTATAACCATACTCTGCATCACAGACAACCTTTAGTGCAGCAGCTCTTGTCAGCAATAACACACACACACATATATTATTTAAAAATGTTTTCATCACGATACAGAAATTACTGTTTCAGAATTAAAATTAAAGTTTTTGTTCCATTCTCAAGCGATGTTGAATAACTTTGAAAAAAAAAAAAAAAAAAAAAAAAGATTTACCTTTTTAAGCAAAGTAGTATTATATTTAAGAGTTTAAGTTGAAGGGGAAATGAGATTTCAAAATTTTAAATGGGTGTTGTCTATTTTGACGAATCAGGAAACAGGTCTAATCTAAGATGGAAAAGTGAAAAATGTAATTTCTGCTTGTGGAAATGGGCTTTCATGTACCAGACATGTCATCCTGTCTATCTTTTTTAAAAATATACATAAGATATACTAAAATACATGGAGTTATATGTATTGGACAGGGAGTTAATTCTGGCATTTTTATTTATTTTTTTTTTACTTTGTTTCAAATACATTGGGGCTGTCATAAAGGGGCTTCAAATATGATTAAATCATATTTTATATATTTATATTTTTAATTATAAAGATCTAAAATGTTATATCTATTATATTTAATCTTCCATTAGATGTGGCATTTTTAAAATTAAAATTTAGGAATTAAGTACATATTTTTTTTAATTGTAATCAAATAATAGATATATAATTATAAAAGTTTTATTAAATATGTTTTAAAGTGAACATAATGCAAAATGCAATGCCTACAAAAGACAGTTATTTCTTTTTGTTGATTTAATAAATCTTTATTTTTAAGAAACTTAATAATATATAACTTTTCATGTAGGCACAAAGGACATGGGTCATTTAAAAACCTACATGTTCTCATTTTTTTTATTAATTTCCATTTAACTGTGTTTTTTTTTTATTTGTTTCTTTTTAAATGCCAAGGATATTTAGATAGAGGATGAAAAGGTGCTGGCACCATCTTAATTTAAAATCATTTTTAGTGCTACAATATAAAATTTCTTAATATCTGGATTTTCAAGAAATGAAATAGTACACTGGTAAACTATAGATTCTGTAAGACATTTATTATTTAGTGGACAATTTATGGGATTCCTACAGTTACATAATTTTTCATTACTACTATTTATTCTCATTTCTGAACCACTAATTTTTTAACTCTGGTTCAAGTATTTATTTAAAATTTTATTATTGTTTTTATATTTTTCTAAATTTTTAGTACAACTATAACCTAATTTTAGGGTATTTTTATTAAAAATCTTGCTAAAAGGATTATTTCTTGGAAAATGTTTTTCAATCAAAAGCAATTTTTGTCCTAACTTACTACTAACTTGTGTACATTAGATGCATGTATGTCTCTTCAACTTATTATTTAATAAGTCTTTATTAAAATTGTTTAAAATTTGGAATGTCATTTGTTACTTAAATAAGGGTTAGCAATTTGCTGTCATATAATGTGTTGCTTGAGGCTGATCTGCTTATCTAATGACAGGGGCCAACCAGTTTGGAATTAAACTCTTAAAACAGGCTTCATAAAGATTCAAACCAAATCTTACCTTGAAAAAGAATTTTTGTTTTCTGTGCTGTTGAAAAAGAAAATCAAAATCATATAGGCTTCAGTAGGCTTTGAAATATGGTAATTATTTGCACTTCTCTTAGTCTCAACCCATCACAACCTTTCTTACCACAATAAAAGAACACTAATTTGGATATCAGAGGAGAGACTCTTGGCTCTTCATAGATGAAGAAAGTAGTTGTGTTTTGTGAGTTGTTGATACTGATTTTTTTTATCACTTTGATTTACACTTCTGGCCTTGCATTTTTCTGATGTTGAACTTTCAAGATTGATTTATGACCTTTGGAATTATGACACCAGAAATATGATTTTGGGAATTGGACCACCCGATTACTATTTTCTAACACTTATGAAATTACAAGTATAGTATAACAGTCTTATTTATACCAATATATATTGCTATATAATTTTCTTTTCTTTATGGTCAATTAGTTGTTTCAGAAGGTCATTTCATTTGACATTTTGATTTTAGATCTGCTATCCGCTTCAGTTAATGAAGGATCTCTTTTGAGAAATTTAGTTGGTTTATAGTGGTGTAGTATTGGTTCACCTTGACTGAGTAGACTATTAAATTTTGCATCAGAAAAAGATTCTTATTAGATATTACATGTTTTATTCCATTCAAAATAACCATCTTGAAAGAGCTATTTTCATTTTTGCTATATTTTAATGCTAAAAAAAACATACCAAATCTTGAGTAATGGTTACAATTAAAAGATGGTGGTAACTTTAAAAAACATTCTTCTGAATAATTAATACTTAATTAAATAATGATTGTGTTAGGTTTGGTGTTACTTTTTTATTAATAGAGTTAATTTAATAACTCTAAAAAAGATAGATCTAGGCAGTCTTCTTCCTTTTTATTTTACAATTATGCCAAAATGGCTCCATGCATTGTTTGCTTATCAAATCCTATTCACTTGAAAGATTTCATTCACCCTTAATTCTTTGTTGCTAGAAGTAATTCCTGTCATTTTGAAAATATTTTCACCAGAATGGTACATAATTGGTATATGAATACCAATTATGTACCACTTCACTGAACTTTAAAAAAAATGAAATGTTTATATAACAACTTTTACAGGTTCATAAGACGTTCACTAGATATTTACTAAATTAGTCTGATATAGAGCCATTAAACTCTCTACAATAGTAACAATGAGACTAACTTGTTAATCATTGCTCCACACATTGAGTATATTTGTTCAAGTAAATTAACATGTTAAAGTGACTTATATATGTTATTGTATTTTTCATTTATTTATAGAAGGCTATCACTTTTTTTTTTGTTTTCTACCATACTTCTTTTTTTTCTTCTTCAGATCTTTGTTGTATTCTAGTATTCTAAACGATGGATGGGATATCCATTGTTTTTCATGTCTCTTATTTACTTTTTCTTTTTCATTCCGTGTCTTTGTTTGATTCTCTGCTTTTATCATTATCTCTTAATAAATTTCTAATTCAAATTTTCTTATATTCATTTTTTTTCTTATTGCAGATACTTGAAGAATGTTTATGCAAAGGATAAGAAGTTATTAATGAAAGTTGCCATTGGTTTAGCTGTTGCAACAGGATTTGGCATTATCACATACAAACTGATTCGAGCGTCACGATAATGTTTGCATGATCCCCTAAAAAAAAAAAACAACAAATAAATGGCATGGAAGAGACAATGAATGAAAAAATTATCATAAAAATTTACAAAACTTGTTGGGTGGGAATAAAACAGTTGCAAATATGTCTCTAGGCATTGTCATCCTAGTCAATAATGAGAAAGCTGATTGAGAAATTGCAGCATTTGTTGAAACTACTCAGGCCCAAACAAAAGAGGTCTCATGTAAAAAGGAAAAAATCTAAATAAAATAATGGAAATGACTCTTGCATAGAATTATGTTCCTTAAATATCCTTTCTCCATTTTGATTAAGTATGCACATTATGTGAGGAACATAAATGCCTCCATGTATTATATACATACATTCACTGAATGGCTAGATGGACAAATACCTTTCTAGATAGCATTGCTCTGTTGACTTATAAAATTACTACCATTACCACAAATATTTTACCTACTTATTACTATTATTTCTACTATTTGTATTGAAAAGAAAACCTTTTATCCTCAGGTTCTATAAGTTTTGTAGATTATCATTTTTTTTTTTATTCCAGCGATAGACCACTTTTATTTTTCATACAAGGATGATAATAGGAAAAGGAAATGCATTGCAAAATTAAAAGAAACACCTGTTTCTGTTTTTGTCTCTTTTTTTTTTTTTTTTTTTTTTTTTGAAATGGCTCGTTTTTTTTTCTGTGAAAATTTCTTTATTTTAAATAGGGTAAAAGTTAGGTAAATTTTTTATGGTGATGCTTGAGAAAGACTACCTTGGTTTTTAAAACAAATTGTTCTGCAGTTAAAAAAAACCAAAAAAAAACTGAATGTCTTGCAAGGAAGAATTTATTTGCTTTTTCATTCGTTTTTTTTTTTTTTTTTACTCTGTTTAACTCACTGAATTTAGCTTTGGTCTTATCTATTCTCTTTTCACAGATATCCTATTGATATCGTCTGATTTGTTCCTCCTTTTATTTCTTTTCAACTATAACTTCCTATATCAATTGCAACAGGAATATAATACAGAAATGAATTCAGTGTTTAATTTGTATGAAGTTTTTAACACAAGCCAATTTCATATCTTTGATTTACATTCTCCTCCAGCCAAAACTCTTATTTTGATTCCAAAATTTTGACTTGGTAAGAGATTCCTAGAAACTTTGTCACTGCACTGGCTTACTATATATAGCACATTTAATGTAAACTGACCCCTTCAAAGATGAAATCTGATAGCATTGAAATAGTTGATTTTTTTTTTTTCTTTTTAATCTTGATGTGGAACAGAGCATGTTCATTTTCCTTTTGTAATATCAGCAAATGGAAGGTCGTTAAGGAAGGTCATGTTGAGCTATTTGATTACTTTTTGTATATCATGTTTGCATATTTCTCCAGTTTTTTTTCGCCTCTTATCTAAGCCTACCATCACCAGTGTTCATTTATGCTCAGTGCTTATGGTCTCATAACCAGGTACATTCTCTCAGATTTGGATAAACCTTTTGGATTGCCTTATACATGAATGACTTAAACATTTAAATTTGCATTTGCACTTGCTCTGACCCATGTAATGTTTTGGAAATTTGGCTATATGTCTGAATGTACTAAGAAATTAAACACATCTTTTCTAAATTCCCTAATTGACATTGATATTTACTGTATGTAGAGATTTTTTATTTTTAATTTAAGCATATTTCCTGTTAAATTTCTTGATGTAAATTTTATTTTCCTTTCTAAAGATGTCTGAAATCTTGTAGATGGTTAACTTTAATGAAATTAATATTCCTTTTTATTTTCATAGATCAGAACAGATGCTTAACTAGTCAAAGGCTCTCATGTCCCCACTTTCATATATGAATGTTTTTTTTTCTTAGCTTTTTTTAAGCTGTTTCACCAACAGTAAAATATTTCTTTAATTATTTAAAATCTTGAAAATTTTGTGTTTAAGCTTCTCTGTGATGGTTGCTAATGAAGTTTCTTTTTATGAAACACACATGATATAGAAATAGCTTGAAAATGTTTTACTGTGAAGAAAAATGATGGTCTTCTCTGTTCATTTATTTCTCTTTATTTCTGAAACAAGAAAAAGTACAATTCTTCACTTTAAAAAGATTTTAAGAAAATTTCTAAATTTACTTTGAATATTGAGAAACAAAAAGCGAAAATTTTTAGCTGAATTAATTTTCATTTTTACTGTTTTTACTTAGAGAAGACAAAGATAATCAAAATTGATTTTTTAGGAGGGAAATTTAATTTTAATTTAAAATATCTGGGAGCAAACAGTCCAATTTATAGTTATGTTGATATAAGTAGTTGTTTTTATTGTTTCAAATACAATTAAATTTAGGAATGTATGTATCTGAATCAATATTTTATTAATTATTCTCATAAGTAAAAAAACAAAAAAAAAAATCTACTTCAATTTATATTCTGTAGTATCAGCTGTTAACTAGTTTTTGTATTGAGAGCTGGAGAATATTTTTAGAATTTTTTTATTTCTAAACAATAAGCACATAAAGTGATGGTGCTTAATCTTGATTTTAATATTTTCTCATTAATGTTTAAAGTCATGTGTAATTTTTAGATTTATCTTTAAATCAAATACTTAAACAGAAAATGAAGCAAAATAATCTTTAAGGGATTTACACCTGCAAACCATGACTTGTAATGGCTTCAGAATACCGTACTTTCCAGTTCTAAATTTTAACAGATTTATTTATTATAAATTAAAGGTTTTTAAAAGGATGAAACATTAACATTTCCAAGTTTTATTTTTAGAGAAAAAAAAATGTAATTTTGGATATGGGTAAGTTTGACTTTGCAATTTCATAAATGTAAAAGATAATATAATGAAGAATTAAAATGTAATTCATCCATCTTTATTCCATTGAAAAAGACTATTGCTATCACATTAAAATCATGCTAAGTTTTCCATTTTCATTCTCATTTACTTTCATCTTTGTATTTTTTCTTTAACTATTTAAATTGATTTACTTTCTGATTGCCTTCAAGTAATTTTTCAGCTCACTTTCAATTTATTTGACTACAATGTGTGTGATACATGTTTTCTTAGTTTTTGTATTGCAAAAATGTGACAGTTAAAAACAATAATTTAAGGTGATCAGAAAGTATGTTGCCAAACATTTTAAAACAAATATTTATCCATAAAAATACACTTTTCATCTTAAATATTCTCTTCATCTTTAGTTACATTTCTTATTTGTATGGTTGGGAAAATTAGCCAGTATTTTCATTAATGCAAATATGTCATGTTCAGGGATGGGGAAGCAGCTAGACTGACCGTTGCTTACAAATAGCTTATTTTTCGAATGCAAGCACAGTTTGACTACAGATTAATTTTTTTTTCCTTTTACTCCTACTCTTTCTCCTCCTCCATTGATTGTGGACATATTTTGATTAGTTTCAAGAAACTAAACAGCATTGAAAGCATTATGGTAAAATATTAAAAATGTATTTTTTTAATATTATTTACTTTCTTTAAAGGATTATGCTTGTTTGTCCATGATAAAATAGCTAGTTTACTATACTAAGTAATACTATCTTTTAAGTTCTTTGAGTCTAAGTAAACAATCTTTTCAACAAAGAAGATTAGAAGACTGTTACGTATATGTGCATGTGTCTTATACACACACATGCAGACTTAATAAATTGAATAAAATGTAATTTACAAAATTTGAACTTTACACATTGTATTTTCAATATTTTTTGTTTCTAATTTATAAGAACTGATAATAAAATTAGCTTAAATTTTCTCCAGTTAAGAATGTTATCTCTTTTTTTTTCCTTTTGCTGCTCAGTGATTCAAATACTCCTATTAATAGTAGATTATATTAGTAGCTAAACAAGTATCCCCAAATTTTCTCATTTTACTTAAATCATCATTAAGATTAAATAATAAAATGTATAACTTTTGAGCTCTTCAATATCATTGTGTAGCCAATTTTAAGCTTTTAAATATCTACATATTCTATAAATAATGTCAGTATCTAGACAAAAAAATAAACAAGTACAATATCTTTGCATTTAAGTTCCAAAGGGATAAAATACAAATCAAAATTCTATTTGAAAATATAAATGAAAAGCTGAAATATTTTTTAAAATCTATAGTGCTGTGGAAAGAGAAAGGGGGAGTGAGAGAAAAAAGAAAGGAGGTAGAATCTAATTAAGTCAAATGCTATCACTTTCCAGAATAAACTTTTTTTCCTGTTTGTAAACTGATATTTTAAGTTAAAAATTGAACATGGATTTTACAAATACTTAATTTTAGAAATATAGATAGTGTAAGATAGATTTTCTCTGTGGAAAACAAATATAATCAAGTAAATGATTAGAATTAAGATTAATGCAAAAACTATTTAATTTTAAAAAGCTTTTATTTTAATTTTTTACATTCTTTAGTCATTTTTATAAATTTGGAAATATACTAAAAACAGAATTCCCAAATTATAAATGTTAACATTTTTATAATTAGTAGTTTTGATTTAAAAAATGCTTAAAATTAATATCAGGTTGATGGTTACATTTGTGTATTACTCAATATAATTTACAAATGTACAGACATATTAAATCTGAAGAGTTTACATTTTGCTTTATATTGTTTACCATTAAAATTCTTTCCAACATTAAAAGGCTTCAAAATTTTTAAAGAAAATAAAGCAACTTTAGGTTCTGACTGTAGGGCAGCTGATGAATATAAGTTTTACATTAATATTTCAAAATGGGAATGATCAAATTTTAAATAATAATTCTTGTTTTTTTGTTGAAACTTTGACATGTAGGAGCATAATATAATGGCTAACATTATAATTTAAGAATTCCATCTAAATTAAAAGGCAAGAAAATGTTCATTGTAATGCATGATACACTGATGTGACACATACACAAGCAGGGCAGTGAAAAGTTTTGTCAAACCTATTCGCAAAATCAGTATTTTAATAACCAAACATCAGAATTTTTTGGGCCAAGAATTTTTTTACACCTTGTGTGTGTTTGTG